CGGGCTTTATGGAAACATTCAGCAAAGTTTTTGAATCAAAAAACGTTTTTCTCCAACATCCCCTAGAATGTACTGAAAGTGTGAAATCTAAACACATAAACTTACTTTTTTATATGGTACTTCCTACTACTGTCAAAATAACAGCATCTTATCAATTTTTAAAAGCGCGAATTCCTGTTTCGAAGCGGATTTGTTCCATTTGCGTTCTTAAAATCATCTTGGATTTCGAGCTGAAATCGGTATCTGGGGATAGAATAATCATTAAATGTTGATCTAGTAAAAGCTTCACGAAATTGAGTGTTTGTGTGGGAAGGTCTAACGGAACCGAAATGTGGAAGCGTAATGAACCTTACAAAATTTAAATAGATGATACGCTGGTAAGCTCTATTGTTGCGACAAAAATCACTTTCATTAATTATGCGGACGCAGGATAATGAACTATGACACAGTAAGCAAAAATACATTATTTAGAACAATTTAACTGAGGAATAGCAAATATGTGTAAAACAACACTTGGGAAGTAATGTGGAAGAGGTAGTTAAGCATAAACTGACGATTAGGGATGAAGAAAGGGAACTCGATTATACAGTGGAGCCGCTTTTATAGAATCCTGATTCCATTAGCACTGAAGTGTGAATATGGTTACAGTGGATCTCCACTAGGTGCTTGCTATCCACTCTCGGGGCTTCAAGGTCATCGCGACTGACTAATGTAGGTCTGAGAATCTCCTTCCTCCTTGGGAAAAGAAAGTTTTAAAAGACATAATGACTTCGGAACTGGGAATAAATTCCTAAATACTCTCCTTCTACTTTTGTCATTCTCCTCTTTTTTATGTGTTTTTGCTGCTACAGTAAGAAATAAAACATATTGTTGACAGGTTATCCGTGTGTTTGTGTAAGTTCGGAAGTGAGCGAACTTTGTCACCCATTTTCAACTGATCAACCAGGAAAGCTGGGAGACAAAAATTTAGAGAGCATAATTCCATATCATGTGTCACCTTCCCGTTTAAAATCATCGCTTATAGACGCCTAGATCTCGGGTATGGACTCCCAAGAAAAACATGCAAATTTCTCTGCGACAGACGATTTCGTGAACCAGAGAAATTAGAAAACTAAAAGTTTGCAGGGATATTCTTTGGGCATGCATGAGTTAAACGTTTCAAATTTAGTTATCGTACACTCATGTACCGCACGTGCGATCAGGTCAAAGTTGGCATTTAACATTGTGCTAACTCGAAAATTAGTAGGAAAACAATTGCTGAAATTTTATCTGAATATTTGTCATCCGTACTTCTACCTAAATTGAGTTTCGACATCTTTGGGCGCTTTAAAGATATCCGTAGCGAAGTGGCTATTTCGCCTATTAGAAAGCTGCGATGCTAAAACTTTTGCGAAGATATTCTACGCAAAAGTTTTAGTATGGTCTTAATTATGCGTTTTTGCCTTCATTCGAATTGCAA